ACCCAGCTCTCCCTGAGCCGTGACAGCCACAGTACTGGTTCCTCCTGTTGTCCTCCCAGCAACACTGAAGGAGCTCATCTCACAGACGATGATCCGCTGGGCCCAGGAAGACCAGATCCAGGACGCAGAGCTGGTGCGGATGATGTTCAACCTCCTCCGGAGGCAGTACGACAGCATCGGAGAGCTGCTGCAGGCTCTGCGGAAGACCTACACCATCAGCCAGGCCTCCGTGGGTGACACCATCAACCTGCTGGCTGCCCTGGGCCAGATTCGCTCCCTCCTCAGCGTCAGGATGGGCAAGGAAGAGGAGCTGCTCATGATCAACGGGCTGGGGTAGGTCATCACTGTCACATGCAGTTCTCGCCAGAGAGCTTCACGTGGGCAGGTGGGTCCTGATGTCACTTTCCCTGGGATGATGTCCTTGCCAGTGGATTACCTTGTAACATGAGCCAGACTACCTGCAACTCATGGTGAAGGGACATTGCCAAAATAAGTTTGGAGTCTTGGAGAAAAGCGGTGATTTAGTTTGAATCTTCTGAAAATAGCCCCAACGAGGCCATGAAAATTTGGAGGAAGAGACAGTACGCTCAGCCCAAGACAGAAGCAGTTTGAACACTTAAGCTTTTAATTCTAGAAAATCAAATCTGAGAAATCTTCCAAGTGTCCCTTCTGAAAACTTGCCACCCTTGGGACAGCAGATGGTGTAATGGTTACATTGCTGGATTCCCACATAGTTGAACATGGTTCAAGGCCCAGACCCAGCAACTTAAAAGTCACGCTGGGCACATGTACATGCATGCCCAAAATCCCAAGAAGAGAATGGAGAAGGGATTGCAGTGTGGCCATCCCCCCGGGGGGTGATTTCTTGCTTGCTTTCTTTCTATCAAGTGCACGTGCCCTATAGCAAAAATAATCTCTTTTTTTTTTAAAAATAGCAAAAATAATCTCTTTTTTTTTAAAAAAAAAAAAAAAAAAAAAAAAAAGATCACCCTCTCTTGTAGTCACTACTTTCTCTCAGAACTAACCCATAGAATCACCTCTGCTAGCTCTGTGAGAGACCTTTACCCACACAGTAGCTCATGGCACTCCCTTAGAAACCAGGGAGTCAAAAGGATTTGTAGCATTTTAGATGTCCAAAGAATTTCCTTTCGTTATGTAGGGTAACACTTCCATTTTGCAGATGAGAAAACAGAGGCCACTCCAAAATGTTCACTGAGCAGCCTACAGTTTTACTTGAATAAAATCCAGAACAGGAACTGCAGACTTTCTCTTCCTGAACATTCCGCCCACCATCCCGAGCCAGCAAACCAGAGGCACCAGCAAGATCCAGGAAAGGGACGCTGAGGGTCCTGGGAGGGGAAATGCACGCATCCCTCAAACTCACTTCCAGAGTGGAATCTTAACAGGAGAAATAAGGAAGCTTTTGTGGGGAGAGGAGAAAAGGCTATAGAATTGGTCTGTCTCTCAGCCTTTCCCATAGACCTCGCAGCAGTAAAAACTGGCCGTTGCAGATGGTATTCCTCCAACCCTCAGGGGAAAAGAGTGGGCAGGGATGCCAGTGAACAGACTGCTTCTACACTGATTTTCCTGCTGCCTTATTATGTTCATCTGTGTGGAATGCTTAAAGACATCATTGCACTTACATGTTAATGTCATTGTTCTTTTTTTTTCCTCTTTAAATTTATTTATTTTTTACATTAATTCACTATACATCATTACAGCATACAAATGAATTTTCCATCCAAAATACACTGTATATTGGCTCAGTCAAGCACATCAACATATGTTATCAGCAAATAATTTTCCAATTCTTATGTCTTGTATACTTTGTTTTGTTTTGTTTTGTTTTTTTCCCATCCTTGATTCCCTATCCCTCACCCTCTGCCATGTCCCACCCTCCTCCCACATTGTCTCTGGTATCCATGGTTGCTTTCTATGCCTTTCCCCCCCATTTAATTGATTTGCTAATGAACTTAGTCTAAATTTATCCAATAGCTAGCACAACTGATATATACCTATACATGAACCCAAGTCTGACTTTAGGCATAAACCTCAGTGAGTAGAATGAGCATATTGTTCTTAAAGGCTGGTGTCCAAAAACGTCATTGGTATCTAACATAGTGTTGCCCTAGTAAAAGCCCTCTAATGAGGAAAACTGAGCCCAGAAAGACATATCTATTAGGACACATGAAGAAAAAAAATGGGAAACCCTGAGTACATGGACGAAGAGATATCACTAGTGATTTTGGACTGTCTCAAAAAACTGGAACAAGCGAAAAGATCAAAGGACAGCTTTTTAATCTGTCATTAGAAAAGAACATTTCCAAGAGAGAAAGCAAGTACTTAGAAATAACGGAGCACACATGTTTCTCTCAGTTAAAAAAGGCGCTCAGCCTAGATTCCAACTGACCTAGTGCTTCTTATTACCTTCTCAGCTGTCACTTTGACGTTACTGTCCCCGGTGCGCTTATGTGTTCTCATCCTGATTTTCATAGCATGGCCATAAGCGAGTGCTGAAGCCTCTCTCTGACCTTTATCCTAGGGACATAATGAACAATAAGGTGTTTTACCAGCATCCCAACCTCATGAGAGTCCTTGGCATGCATGAGACAGTGATGGAGGTGATGGTGAATGTGCTGGGCACGGAGAAATCTCAGGTAATGCTTTAAGCCAGAACTTTCCTCTTGGCACAAGGGCACAGGAGGTGACTGGTCTGGAGCTCCTTGGCTGGTGTCCATTGCCTCAGTTGTTTTTCCCAGAGGGAGAGAGGGACATGCCCAGTGCCAGGAAGGAGCCGGGAGATGGGGTGTGTGCTGCTGGATGGAGTCCCACAGGGTAAGGGCTCCGGCCCTTCAAGCTTCAGGGCTTTTCTCACTCACCCCGCTGGGCCATCAGTGGCAAGATCTCCTTCCCATCCTTCCTGTATTCTGAAGCCCTGCTCCTTCCAAGATGGAATAACCCAGGGGCCTGGTGTGCCTATGCAGAACCAGGAGGGAAATGTTCTGAAGGAGGAGATCTCAGTGATGAGCCTGGTGGTGTTCCCTCTGGAAGGATGCCTCTGTTGGCTTATCTCTTGTCTAAGCCAGATGTCTTTGACAGTTCCCCATAAGGAGCCTGCAGCAGGGGGAACTCCTGTTTCAAGGGGGAAGAAATGGGGGGAGGACATAACTAGGCACTTATCCCAACTCTTCTGAGGCCCTCATTAGAGTTAGACGACTTCTGGAAGCAGTGAATGGGGAATGACTTCAAATATTGGGAATTCTCGAGTGCCGGGGTCCTACGAATGAGTGGTCTCCAGTGCGGTTTCAGCAATGTTTGTGAGTAGGTGTTACGGAAGCACAGAAGCCATAGTCACATTCTTCACGGCTTTCTTCCCATCCCTTGGTAAAGGAAAACCTTTCCAAACACGCCTGAGCAGATGTCTGGTTGCCGCATCGAGCAGGTAGACAGTAGGCTTCGGAACCTTATTTCTTAGAGCAACCTCTGAAATTCCAAATGGAAAAGTCAAGGTGTTTCTAGGCTCCTGAGTAAAGCTAGCGCTGACACCATTTATTGAGCACTGCAGACTAAAAACTAAGATGTGGCCAGCCTGGAGATGCTAATCACCCTGTGAGCAGAAAAACCAAACACAATCCACTGTAATGTAAGACGGCATCTCCCTGCTACATTGCGTGAATCAGGTTATGAGTGCTGCAGAAGCCCATCGGAGAGCAGTTCCCAATGACAAAGTAATTGGGGGAGGGTTCACGCTCTTCAGGCTATACCAAAGCTGTAGGGGCCAGCTTAACCCAGAGGACACGAGTTTGATACACTGGTGGGCTCTGTGTCACCAGTCAGCTCTCTCCCTTTCTGATCATCCCCATCACAGTTCTGTCCACTCCCCTAGTCGGAGACATCAATAGCCTAATATAAGGTCGTGCAATTTCATGTGACACCCGGAGATAGCTTGGGACTCTTGTTGGACATCTATTTTTCTTTGGAGGCAAGATATTTTTAAGAACTATAATTAGCTTTCTGTATTTTGGGAAGCCTCATCTTAGGTGTCCTCCATTCTCTGTCCCTCCTGTAAGTAAGTCTTAGAAAACACTGGAGAGAAAGAAACTATTTATTTTCAGAACTGTTCACCAGCTCAAGACTCTTTGAGGTCAAACTTTTGAGAAAGGCCTCACGATAATTCTTCTCTCTGACACTGCCTACTTCTTTCTACAGATTGCTTTTCCAAAGATGGTTGCTAGCTGCTGCCGCTTCCTTTGCTATTTCTGTAGAATTAGCCGGCAAAATCAGAAGGCCATGTTTGAGCATCTGAGCTATCTGCTGGAGAACAGCAGTGTTGGCCTAGGTATGTATGTCAGGATGTAACTTCCACATTTAGACTCAGAGGGTAACTCCCCCTAATGACCACTTAGGAGATCAAGAGAAAGGAGCCACATTCAAGCTACATTTTTGTTGTTGTTGTTTTTCCTTTTTAGATTTTGTTTTGATTTTGGCCATGGGGTACATGCAGTCACCAGAGAGAGACAGAGAAAGACAGCAAGAGGGAAAGTGAGAAATCACCTCCAGGGGGCATGACCACACTGCAATCCCTTCTTCATTCTCCCATCAGAATTTTGGCCATGCACAGACACATACCCAATGTAATTTTCAAGCCACTGGGTCCAGGACGCTAATAGGGCTCGGCTAAATAGGAGTCTAGCACTTTAACCACCAGGCCGCCTGCTGGCCCCAGGCTATAATATCTTTAATACAAAAAGGTACCCTGCCTGATCTAAAGATCATGCAAACCAGGCCACCTGCTGGCCCCGGGCTATAATATCTTTAATACAAAGAGGTACCCTGCCTGATCTAAAGATCATGCAACAATGATACCATGTCTACACTCTGCAGCGTAAGTAGACGTGTTGCTGCCGGCCAAACTGTCAGCCAGATTTGTGCTGCACACTCATTCCACCCTACTTGATTCCTTTTGAGGCCAGAAGCCCATGGTGTATGGAGCCCTGCCTAGGATTGTGGATCTCTTCTGAAGACACACCTCCTACTGGCTAGCTCAGTTCACCGGGGCCGGCGAGGGCGGGTGTGGGGGATGGTGGTGGATGGGCAGTGCTAATGAGACCAAGGTCATAGATCCAATCCCTTCTTGGCACACTGGCTGCAGGCTCCATGCCTGTCCCATCAGCCAACCAGCAAGTGCTCTCCTTAGCTATAAGGCAGAGCAGCCAAGAGCAACTGGAGATAAACGGTGTAAACCCATCAGCACCCCTAGAACAGCAACTCACTGCATAGGCCTCGCTCACTATTCTGATGTAAACCAAGTAAACTTGTGGAGTACACAGATACAGAAGGAAACCTGAAGTCTCAGCTGTTTTCATTTGTCATATGCAACCTCAGGCCACAGCCATTTTGTAAAATGTCACCTGGACTTTTTCTTAATTATAACCTACACATCAAGCAAACAAAGAAACAAAAAAATCAAGGGCACCATTGGGGACCTGATGTAGCTATATGAACTTATGCTGTTTTGGGCTATTTTTAAACTCTTGCTGGTGACTCCAGAAATGTCCAAGTTCTTGGGGTGTAGCTAGTAAAGTGACATCTGAGTCTTGTGTGTGATCACTAGGTGAGAGCCCAGCAAAGTTTTGTGTTAGAAAAGCACTTGAAAATACATGGTCCCGACTGATCCTGTGAACTGATTTTTTCTTTTCGTCAGTATTAACAGTCGGTAATGAGCCCTGGGGAGGAAGGATAGCAGACAGAGCTATGCTTTTGGTTTTTGTTGGTTGCATTTTTCGAGCCAAGCACAGGTTTATTGAGATAGAGATATGCTCCACAGATGGAATGGACCATTGCCAAGTAGCCCAAGAGAGAGGTTCATAAATTGGACGGGCTGCCCCATTGTAGAACCGCGATGTGAACCAGATTCCAGTGTGTTTGCTGCCCTCTGCTGTCCACTTGCATGCAGTGCAGCCACAGCTCAGTGCTGGGTGGCCTCTCCCTTTCTTGCTCTTTCTCTCCTCCTTCCTCAGCCTCCCCGTCCATGAGGGGATCCACCCCACTGGATGTGGCAGCTTCCTCCGTGATGGACAACAACGAGTTAGCACTGGGCTTAGAAGAACCAGATCTTGAGAAGGTAACTGGCCCTCGGGGAGAGGAAACCACATTTTGGTTGTCTTCTGCCTATAGTACAACCCAGCAAGGCAAAGTGGACCAAAATCTGGGTTTCTGTCAGAGCATCTGCATTTGAGTGGGTTCACAGCAAAAATGTGGTGGAATGTGAGTAATTGATGGCAGCACAAGTACGCATTCCCAGGGGCTCTCCTGTAGGCGGAACAGCCAGCTGCATGGGCGTGAGTTCTTTGCACGTGGAGGCCCAATCTCTTTGGTCTCCCTGGAACACGCAGAGACCTTGTGGTCCCTAGTAACGTTCTGTGTCATCTAACTTATAAGTTTTCCTAGGCAGGAAGGAGGCCTCACAGAAAATCGTCTCATCAATGTCCTTTCCACGTACAATGGGACAAAACCAGGATGCCCTCTGTTGGGATTGTAGTTGGAGCACCTGGCAATGGTGATGGTTGGTGGCTGGTTCAGCTACATTCTTTCCCCATCCTTTTCTTGGAACTATTTCCTTGACAAGATTCACGGTGGAAAACAGCCTGGTGGGGGAGGGCCCAGGGCAAGTGAGACGTCATCCACTGTCTCGTGGGTTTGGGCATCCTGGGCAGAAAAGCACCTGGCTTTGACAAGGGGAACAGAAGGTCACTCAAAAAACAAAAATAAAAAAGTGACGACCTGAGGGAGGAGTAGATGGTCAGCTGCATCGTTGGGGACATGTGCCCGGGGTGTCTGCGGTCACGAGGAGAGCTCCCCGTGCTGGAGAATTCAAAAGTCGAGGGTAACTGAAGCATAACGCGTCTGGGAGAGTGGGAGAAATGAGGCAGGAACAGCAAGGAGCTAGACGTTACGTTACCTCTACTTTTAATGGAAACTTCATACCCATGCAGTATCACCATGAGCCAGGCCCTGCTCCGAACACTGCCTCCCGTTAACTCACATGACCCTCTGAAGACGAGCCTTTTCATTATTGCTTGCCAGTCACGGGCAGGGAAATGGAGGCATAGGGAAAGTAGTCATGTCCTTGTTGTCACGGGGTCAGTGAGTGGCAGAGCTAGGAATCAGAGAGGTTCATCTTCAGAGGTCTTACTTCCCCCACTTACGTTACTGGACATCACTGTGGAGCCAAGAGGATGGAGACTACTGGAGGGTTTGAAGCAGAGGAGTGACATACCAGGACTTACATGTTAGAGGACACGTGGTTTCAGCAAGAACTGGCTGGAACAGACAGAAGACTCCAGGCAAGGAGAATTGAGGTCCTCCTACAGTAATCAACGTGCTGGCTTCAACTAATGTTGGCACAGTGAATGGGAGAAGTATCCGAATCCAAGGGACCTGTAAGAGGACCAACAGCAGCCATTATCAGATGCTGGGTCAGGCTCACTTTTTCTGCTAAGGGTTATGGGTGAAACAGATTTGAGGAAGCAGGTGATGAGTTTGCCTTTGGCCATGTGGCATTTGAGGTAACCTGAAGCTACCGAATGGCAGTATCTAGCGAGCAGGAGTACAGCTAAAGGCAAACCCTTAGCAGAAAAAGTGAGCCTGAACCTGCGTTTGAGGTAACCTGAAGCTACCAAATGGCAGTATCTAGCGAGCAGGAGTACAGCTGGACCAGAGCCCCAAGGGCCACTAGCACTTAGGGGATCACAGGGGAAAGGCACTGGCAGAAAACAGGGGGAGGAGCAGCCAAATAGGGATCCCAGAAAATGAGGAAATCCCCTGAGGAAATCCCAGAAAATGAGGTGGGAAACAGAAAAAGGCAGAAAAAAGGGGAAGGAGCAGCCAAATAGGGATGCAGAAATCCCAGAAAATGAGGTGGGAAACAGAAAAAATATTATAAGTGTGTATGTATATACACATATATACATATATGTGTATGTATGTATATATACTTTTTTCTTCTTTTCGAATAGTGAATGTGGGGAGGCTCAGAGAAGTCAGTTTGAGGGGAAGGGAGGGGAAGGGATCTCTTAATCTAATGATTACCACAGCGGATGGCCTTCGTCCAGCTGAGGTGGCCACACAGACAAGGTAGATAACATTACTACTGCTGAAGATTCTGTTTCTTCAAGCCTGGGTAAGGAATTGCTGTCCAAGCTGCAGAACCAATTCTGGTCTGTTCAGATGAGATAATTACCCACCATAATCTATTGATGGTTTTGGGTTCATAATTTCTTCCTCAAGTGCACTCAACCAGTAAGTGCTGTGTTGGCGCAGCTTGTTTCTAAGAGGAGGAACTTATGTTGCAGTAGAAGGGTGTGTTAGTTAGCCGGGGCTGCCCTAGTGAAGGACCACAGATTGAGTGGCATCAGGATTTATATTCTCATAGTTTTGGAGGTAGAAGCTTGGGATCAAGGTATTGGCAAATTTTATTTCTCCTGAGGAATGGCTTACAAATGCCCACCTTCTCATTGTGTCCCCACCTGGTTTTTTTCCAGAGTGTGTGCATTCCTTGTGTCTGTGTATCTGAATTTCCTCTAAGGATACTGCCCTATTGGCCTCATAATCGCTTCATCACTTTTTTTTTTTTTTTTTTTTTTTCTTTTTTGAGAGATTTTCGCTATAGGGCGCGTGCGCTCACCAGACTGACAAAGAGAGACATAGAGACAGAAAGCAAGAAATCACCCCGCAGGGGGTCCATATGGTCACGCTGCAATCACTTCTCCTCCATTCTCCTCTCGGGATCTTGGGCACACACGTACACGTGCCCAGCGTGAGTTTTAAGCCACCGGGTCCGGGACATGAACCGTGGTCGACTACATGGGAGTCCAGCGACATAGCCATTACGCTAACTGCTGGTTCCCCATCACTTCTTTAAAGGTCTTATCTCCAAATCCAGTCACATTCTGAGGTATCAGCATTAGGATTTCCACATGTGAAATTAGAGGAAAAGGACACAGTTTATGCATGACAAATAAATTTACCTTTGAATCGTCATTTTATTTTGATGTTTAGAGGTTTTATTTTTCTCCCAATATCAAAGAGATAGTTTTATGATAATATTTGGGCAGAAATTTAAATAAAGTCATTTTTATTTTGTCAGAATTAATTGACAAGGCCTTTGGACTTCATTGAGTCTGTAATAAATGATTAAGTTAAAAAGTGTAAGTCAGGGAAATAATCTATTTACTGGACTTGTTCAATATGGTATTTTGCAGGCAACCTGATACCACTTCACATACGTGCTTCTTACAATGAAATTCTGTTGAGAGAAAGCCTAGTCCTGTACAAGTTAGGCTTCACTTGAGTGGGCCTTTGCAGCTGCCAGAATGAGTGAAAATGACCAGAGGGAAGTTTTAGAAGTCACTCCTCTAGGTCTCCACAGGCCTATGTTGAAAGGACACCCTTACCTCAACACACACAATAAAATAAATAAAAAACACTGGTCTACCTGTCAGTACCTGGCATAATAGCCATTTCTAAAGAGTCTCAGACTTCAGATTTTATCCTTTCCACATTTAAGTGGCAATAAGTACCTCAGTGCTCTATGTGGTCAGATGACGACCGATGCAGTATGGAAAGCAGCGAATGGGTCTCCTACCACAGGGCAGTGCCCAAGGTTTGAACTCAGTACCCTGTTCTCAGCCTCAGATGTGACTTGGCCAAAATACTCAGCCTCCCTTAAAAGAGGGACTGTGTGACGAGTGGAGGCTAGCAAGCTGGGAGGGGAGAGGAGGGCACTAAGGGGAATCTGCGGAGGGGTGAAATTTGTTGCCCTCTTTTTAAGGGACTGGCTGAGTCAGCACAGTGCCACAGACTCTATTCAGGCCTTTACTGGGAAATGACTCAACTTTAGCTCTTAGAAGAAAGCAGCGAGAGACAGGGAAGTGCTGCAGTTCCTCCCTTCTACTGATCACAACACAAGTTAGGTCTGTTTGGATTGAACTATAGCCCATCCCAACAAACGCACACACACACACTCCATACTCGCACCCCCCAACACTTATTTTAGTGGTGGGTAAAAATGTTCTGCACTTGTAATGCTAAAAACTCTAATTCTGGCTTCCATTGATATTTCCCTAACATTTTTTAAGTCAAAAACAAATCTTAGCTCCAAGTAGAATAGTATCCTTAGTGGCTTAAGAAGAAAGAAATGTGATAATAGATTTGTACTGAGTTTTGCCTCCAGTTTGTTATTCTTGCAAAATAACTTAAGATTATTTTACATCAGTAAATACATGATTTATTTATTAACCACCTATTAATATGCTAGGCCCTAGGGATTAAAAATGAAAGCAATACCACCCTGATGTTGAGTATCTTGCAGCATAGTGGATTCTCCTCTGCCTGTATATATAAAATATCAAAGATGAAATTAGCACAACTGGATTTTTTATTTTTTTGAGAGAGAGATTTTTGCTATAGGGCACATGCACTCACCAGAAAGACAGAGAGAGACAGAGATAGAAAGCGAGAAATCACCCCCCAGGGGGGATGGTCATGCCGCAGTCCCTTCTCCTCCATTCTCCTCTTGGGATCTTGGGCATGCATGCACACGTGCCCAGCATGAGTTTAAGCCTCTGGGTCCAGGACTCGAACCACAGTCAACTACATGGAAGTTTAGCGACATAGCCATTATGCTAACTGCTGGTCCCAACAACTGGATTTTAAACAAGTCTCTTTGCTGAACGTTTTGCCTGATACCTGCTGGTGTAGGCAAAAATCTAAAATTTCTACAAGATTCCAGGTGCAGTCTAGTAACCTAGAAACAAAACGACCACAACAAGTCTTAGTGCCTAACAGGTTCTGATCTCTTTTCTGGGCAACCCTTGGACAGTTGTTGTTAATGCAGACCTCGAGTGTGGACCTCTTACTACTCAAGCGTCCACTCAGCATCAATTAGTGACTAAATATTTAGGCCTTGCTATACATGGTTGGCCTAGGTCTCACAGAGTTTCTTTACTCTCCACTGTTATCTCCCCAGATGCAACCTAGTTAGCCTTATTTTTTTAAGAATTTAATTTTATTTAATTTTTAATTTGACCAGGGGGGTGGGTGGGTAAAAAAGCAAACTGCGAGGTTCAGGACTCAAACTGCAGTTAGCCACGTGGGAGTCCAGAACCCTAATCACCATACTACCTGCCAGCCCCAGTTAGCCTTATTTTTAAATGGCAGTTCCCTCTTGCTAGAATCAGAAAAACCTGGGAACTGACAGTACAGGGTGTGTTCCTATATAACAATGATAATCAGTCATATTGATTACTTGTTAAGTAAAAGAGATTGGAGGTTCTGGTTACAAACCTATTGAAGTATTGATTTGAAAAGTCTTGGGCTCTCTAGTTTCTAGGGAAATAAAAGCCTTTCAGCTCCCAGAATAGTTCAGGCTTCACAGCTGTCTCATAAAAAACCATAGGTACTTTTCTCTTTTTTTGCCTTTACTATATATGTGTGGCTTATCTTTTTTTCCCATTATCTTTACTGTGGTAAAATTTACCCTGTTAACCATTCTTGAATGTACAGCTCAGTGATATTAAAAAGTTTCATGATGTTGTACAACTGTCTCCTCCATCTGTCTCGGTAACTCTGTTCACCTGGTGAAACTGCAATTCTGTACCCATTTAACAACATCCCATTCTCCTTCCTCCTAGCCTACAGTGACCATCATTCTACTGTCTTTATGGCTTTGATTACTTTAGATAACCTCATTTAAATGGATTCATACTGACTTGTTTGACTTAGCACATGTCCTTAACGTTCACCCAGGTTCTAACATGTGTCAGAATTTCCTTCCTTCTTAGGGCTTAATAATATTGCGTTTTCTATATATGCCACATTTTGATTACATTCATTCATCAGTGGATACGCAAGTTACTTCCACATTTGAGTGATTGTGAGCAACATTGTGAGTATAGGCGTACTAATACCTCTTTGAGACCCTGCTTTTAATTATTTGGAGTGTGTATACACTTACACAGAGGCAGAATTGCTGGGTCATATGATAATTCTATTTTTAATTTTTTGAGTAACTACCATATTGTTTTCCACAGTGGCTATATCATTTTACATTCCCACCAACGGTGCAGAAGAGCTCCAAGTTCTCCATATCCTCACCAACAGTTATTATTTTGTTGTTTGTTTTGTTGGGAGTGGGGAGAGTGGTTCATTTGGTTTTTAATAGTAGCTATCCTAACTGGTGTGAATATGGACACTTACTTTCGTGCTGTTCTTGGCAGGTGGTGACCTACTTGGCAGGCTGTGGCCTACAGAGCTGCCCCATGCTTCTCACCAAAGGATACCCTGATGTTGGCTGGAACCCTATTGAGGGGGAGCGCTACCTGTCCTTCCTTAGGTTTGCCGTCTTCGTGAACAGTGAGTCTTACATTTCCATGACTAGCATAATCATGAATACACAGAAGGGAAAGGGGATCTTTTCCATTGTTCCTTATCCATAAACATGATAGGTTCTGCTGGTACTTTCTGGCTGTCAAGAGAAATCTTAGGAAGAAACAGGCCAGAAAAGGATTAATAGCAGATTCTAATGAGCAGAGCACTGAGCTGTTGTCCCAGATCCAGCAGGATATCACCTCATGGACTTGTCACTTCTTTGTACCTCTACTCTCCTCAGTAAAAGTGGACTCTTATTATTATCATGACCTCACCTATTTCACAGAGCTAAATGCAGATGTGCCTCCAGACCTTTAGGCTCTTGGATAGATGGATGGATGGATAAATAAAATCATCAACAAGTTAATAGCTGTAAAAGACCACTAAACTCCCGGGGCGGGGGGGTGGGGGTGTGATTGCTCTAACAACTAAATACTATTGGTCACAAGTCACCTCTTCTTTGTAGTAAATTCCAACTCTATTAAAATTCCTAATTGCATCAGAATAATGTACTGAACATTGTGCAAAATAAGTAAACTACTTTCTTTTTTTTTTTTTTTTAAGAGTGATTTTTGTTATAGTGCATTTGCTCTCACCAGAGAAATAGAAAGACAGAAAGCAAGAAATCACCGTCCAGGAGGATGGCCCCACCGTACTCCCTTCTCTTCCATTCTCCTCTTGGGATCTTGGGCATGCACATGCATGCACCCAACGTGAGTTTTTAGTTGCTGGATCTGGGACTCGAACTGCAGTTGACTATGTGGGAGTCCAGTGACATAACCATTACATTTCTGCTGGTCCCAGACTACTTTCTTTTTTGGGGGGGGAGGGAGAGGGTGGGAAAATAACTTTATTTCCTAGGGAGCAGGCAGGCGTCCAGGCTCAGAACTTCTGGAACTGCTTCTTGGTGCCGGTGGCCTTGGTGACCTTGAGCACGTTGAAGCGCACGGTCTTGCTCAGGGACCCAGACTACTTTCTTGAAAACGTTCCTTGTCTCCCAAGATTTTGTTGCAACACTGTTTGTACCGTTACAAGTAGTGTGATCCTTTACAGTTACGATCCTTATTCCTTCTCTTAGTTTGGGGTTCCAGGCTAATAAGCTAATAAATCCAACTGCCTGGCTAAGTGATCTCAAAGAGGAAATTATAACTAATACAGAGTCATGGAGTTGTTCTCAGTATGAGGCTTTATTTTAAAATATACTACCATGACATGCTCTATTCCTATGTGCTTCTCTTCTCTTCCTCCACTCCCATCCCACCTGCAGTTTCCCACATCATACTACCCTATAGTCTCAGTATTTGAACGAAGTCGGTTCTCCTAGGTTTACTGGATCACAGGACTTGAGCTGTCTGTGTTTTACTCCCCTGGGTCCAGCGCAGCCAGATTCCTTATCCACTTTCTTCTGCTTCTCTCTTTTCTTCTCTGAGACCTCCTATCTGTTTGTCACCAGCCTCACTAAATTCTATTTCTTCTCTTCAGGCCAGTTTTATAGTGGCCTCTAATAGTCTGTTCCATTTCCTATCCAAATGATTATATGTCCAGAATCAATAAATTCTCTGCAGCAGTAAAGAGAATTTTTTAATGAAGTGAACATTAATATATACAGCTCATCAAATTATGTAGACTATATGACAGACCAACCAGATCAAGGCGAGACCGATTTATTCATCTTGGGCACATTCATTCACAGTCCAGATCAAGAGCTCAGTGGCTCCATTCAGTGGGATTGTCTGCATGGGTTCTGAAGGTAAAGGAGTTCACTCACTGTGCTCCTATCTGGATTCCAGCACTTGCTTTTGCTGGTTAGATGCAATTGTATTGAACTAAAATGGCCAAAATGTTTGGTCTGCTCCTGTGGCTTTCAGGTTGCTTTATGTCTTTTTAACATATTCTCCACAGTACAATTTTATAATGCAATAAGTGCCAGCAAATTGGTCTATCGTTAAGATATACATGCATTTTAATTCATTTTCATTGTATCTTTATAATATTATAATATAATAACATTTGTTTTTGACAAAGGATATCAGTTTCTACCTTCAAAGAATTTATAGTCTCTTCAGGGGAGTTGACATGGACAGAGGTTACTATAATAGCAGATGGTGTAAGGGTTACATTGCTAGACTCCCACATAGTTGACAATAGTTCAAGTCCTAGTCCCCGTGACTTAAAATTCACACTGGGTGCGCCTACGTGCAGGCCCAAAATCCCAAGAGGAGAATGGAAGAGAAGGGATTGAGACATGGCCATCTCCCCTGGGAGTTGATTTCTCATTTCTGTCTCTCTGTCTCCGGCTAGCACATGCACCCTATAGCAAAAATCTCTCTCTCAAGAAAAAAAAGTAAGTGGAGTAGGCAAGGAGAGGACATTCACATCCTATTGAGAAGATCAGAAAAGGCCTCCTTGAGGAGATGATGTTAGAGATGAGCTGGAAAAGGCCAAGTTCTCAGATGCAGAGATGCAGAAGAGAGGATCCACACAGGGAGCAGCAAGAGCAGTGACCTGAAGGCCAAAGCTTGCTGTGTTCAGGAAGCAGGGCTCCAGTGGCCCAGGGATGGATATGGTGCACAGCTGTGGTAAGAGAGAAGGTGTAAGAGGCAGGTAGGGGCTACAATGAAGAGAACCGAAAGGCCAAGCTAACAGGTTCAGTATTGAAGCATTGAGCAGAGAGCTGGGAAACTTTAACACCAGAGAGACCTATGGGTATTACAGACAGGTCCTATACTTAACTGGGACTAATCGGTTTCTGGATTATAATGGTAATGGTAGAAATGGACTGGAAGAGATACACTTGAAAGAAATGACAGAGATAGAATTATAGAACGGAATGGTGATGCTGATGGCCAAGCCTGTATTTTGAAAGAAAAGGAACAGAGGTCACATTGAAGCTTAGAGGTTTGAGGATAGAGAGAAAAGAAATGAGGATGTCAGAATGTTGTTTCGGTGGAAAACAAACTTAGTGTGTATCGCATCATTCTGATTTCACATTGTGCAATACCAAAAGAGAGATGTCCCCTGGTTGGGCTTATAGTGTATAGATCAGAATAGTAGGTTTGCAGATTGGTAACTGAAATGATTGAACGTAGATTGTTACAGAGGAGAGCATGGAAAAGATATGGAGAATATCGAAAAGAAAAGTCAGAATTGTTTTGAATATCTACAGGAAGAGGAGGGGGTGACTCAATCACGGAGTGATTCGGAAGTGTTTGATCTGGAGAAGAGCATCTTAATTTAAGTCTGAGGGGCAAGCAGGTGGCATAGTGGTTAAGACACTGGACTCCCACATGGCCTACCATGGTTCAAGTCCCAAACCTGGAGGCTTGGAAGTCATGATGGGCACATGTGCATGTGTGCCCAGAATTCCGAGAGGAGAATGAAAGATAAGGGATTGCGGGTGGCCATTCCTCCAGAGGGTGATTTCTCACTTTCTCTCCCTCTGTCTCTCTGTTTCACCAATGAGCACATGTGCCCTGCAGCAAAGATCTCTCTTTAAAAAAAAAATTTAAATCTGGCTCTGTTGCTTACCAACTAAGCAAGGAAATAAAACTCTCCTAGCCTCAGTTGGGTTTTTGTTTTGTTTTGTTTTGCTTTGCTTTGCTTTGCTATAGGGAGCATGCACTTGCCAGAAAGACAGAGAGAGAAACAGAGAGAGAGAAAGCGAGAAATCACCCCCCAGGGAGGATGGTCATGCCGCAATTCCTTCTCCTCCGTCCTCTCAGGATTCTGGGCATGCATGCACACACGCCCTGCATGAGTTTAAGCCACCAGATCTGGGACTCGAACTGCTGTAGACTACATGGGAGTCCAGTGACGTAGCCATTACGCTAACTGCTGGTCCTTTTATATATATATATACAGATGCAGTAATAGCAGTGTGGACCAGAAGTGGTGGTGCAACAGTAACACAGTGCTTTTATCATGCTTTACCCACATAGGAAGGTCCTGGGTTCACGTCCAGAGGTCCCCTATACATGCCAGGTGCATATGTACACCCCATGATGCAGGCTAGCTGAGACTGGGAGCAGATTTTGGCATGAAGACCCTGTCTTCATGTGCCTGTCTCTTGCTCTCCCCCTCTCCCCTCTTTTCCCTCCCTCCCTCCCTCTCTCTCTCTCTCATAGAAATAAAATGAAATATGGTAAATGTGGGTTGTAAGAGTGACTGTGAACGTGGTAATGAGTGATAGTGAGGATGGCGAGGATGATAACAGCTAACACTTACAGAGCATTTACCATGTGCCTGGCACTGTTCAAAACACTTTTAAATCTATTAACTTGGGGCCAGCAGGTGGCATGGTGGTTAAGGCACTGGACTCCTACAGCTGCAGTTCAAGTCCTGGACCTGGTGGCTAGCTTTCTCACCCTACTCCCACCCCTATGGCTCTCTGGTGATCACATGTGCCCTCTAACAAACTTTAAAAAAAAAAAAAAAAAAGAATAAAAATAAATAAATAAATTTTAAATCTATTAAATTACATTACACAATAATTCAATGCAGTAGTACAGGTTAAACATCCCTAATTCAAAAATCTGGGACCAACAGTTAGCGTAATGGCTATGGCGCTGGACTCCCTCGGAGTCGACCGCGGTTTGAGTCTCGGACCCGGTGGCTTAAACTCTCGCTGGGCGCGTGTGCGTGCGTGCCCAAGATCCCGAGAGGAAAATGGAGGAGAAGGGATTGCAGCGAGGCCATCCCCCCTGGGAGGTGATTTCTCGCTTTCTGTCTCTCTGTCTCTCTCTGTCTGGCGAGTGCACGCGCCCTATAGCAAAAACCTCTCCAAAAAAAAAAAAATCTACAATTAGAAATACTGTAAAATCTAAAATTTTGTGAACATCAACCTGCTGCCTCAAGTAGAAAATTCCATGCTGGGAGCCAGCAGATGGCATTGTGGTTGAGATACTGAACTCCCGCATGGCCAGCTGTGGTTCAATTTCTGGACCTGGAAGCTTGCTGTCTCACTTTCCCTCTTTTTCTCTCTGTCT